TTAGAATGCGTGTGCTCAACCTAATAGAAACTCTCGTAGGACACGAATCATCTATTAAAAAGAATGAACACCCATTAAACTTTGACCAAAATACTTTCTACATCAGAGCAGTAACTTTCGAACTACTGCAAATTTTATAGCGACCCTCAAGGTCGCGCACATTCAAATGGTGATAGAAATGAACTAAGAACTTAGATGTTGGAGACAAAGTCAGGAATAAATACACTATACCCATAACCATCTATATATAAGTATGCTATTGCAAGCTGAAATGGGTTTTCAAAATGAGGGTGATGTTGCACGAGTTTGGTCAACACCTGTATATATACCGCAATCGCTTTTATTACTGTAATACTCTCTTGATTTAGTTTGACGAAACAATGAATGAAAGCTAGACACCTGTCAAAGTTAAAATGTTATTGTTGAAAATGTGTATTACCTGCTTTTTCTTGTCCCACGAGTCTAATTGGCACAGATGACCCAAATGCGTGGACAAAGAAAGATGAGGTTTGGTGTGCACAGTCTTGCTTATGATGAATATCATGTCACTTTGTTTCTTCGTGGGCGATGAAAAGTGAGACGTGAACGATTCATTCAGTCCGTGCTTGAAGTAATCAATTTTGGACTCACAGACGTGAGCTGGTAGGCACTTCCAAATATTACACACATTGAAGGTTAAGGATTGACACTGGCATTCCATCCCGCAGTAGATGTTGGGCAGCAACATGAACAGCAGACGATGTAGATGGTTGTCATTCGGTACACCAAGATCGCTTCCTCGAATTCGGCCTTTACATCTGAAGCCCTACTCACTACATTTATGTGACAGAGGTGTCTTTCATCTGCATGAGAGAACGAAAAACCAACATCTTGGAGTCGATGAGCGGGTCGGTGAACCACTCACTGATAGTTCACTTAGAAGAGGCGTACGAATAACACACGTACTGATTATTTTACTGTCATCATTTGGTACAATCTGAATTCAGACGTTTATTAACTATAATCCATTAACGTGTACCACGTGACTCATTTGTTTTTCTCCCAAACAATTCTGGAAATTAACCATTCCGATCGCTTAATCTTACTCTGTTTTCTGATTGCACATATTTCGAAGGTCATCTAAATCTGTTTCGTTTGATTGCTTAAAGTGTATAACATGATTGTTGTAATTAGTTTGAATTTGTTTTCCTTGTACTTACATTTCAACAATCAATACTCTTTAGCCGGAGGCTGCACCAAGTGTCACCAAGGTGCAGGTAACCCCAATCCGTACAACACAGTCAATAGATACCATACATTCGACAGATCCGAAACAGTCGACTACTGTTCGATCTCGTTCTCACAATCAATGCGGTCATGCCTCGGATTCAACTGTACAACAAATTCTGTATGGACCTGGTACTGGTCCAGCTTGTCGAGATTCCGGTAAGCTTCCGCAATTAACTTTTCATATCAGCTTTATGATGTTTGGGATGTCTGTTTACTGAGAATAAACCCAATTTGGAGATAATTAGGTGAACCGAATGTTTTGCGAGCACGTCTTTTTTTTAGGTCTCAATTTTAACCTTTGTACAAGTAGTTGCATTATTTGAACGCTTCTGGTGGTCACGGCTAATGAGATACGTATTATTTACAAAGTTGTTCTGTGTACCAATGGCCGTATTTCACGTTGATTGTACTCCGGCTCGTGAGTGCCACTCGAAACACCTGGTCATCGTAATCCTCATGTTTCAGTGGTTGGATTGGTTTCGTTTCCGGTGGACCGTGAACTGTTTTTATCTGAAAACGTTCCCTCATTTTTTGAATTTGGACATCAAATCCCTGTCCATGAGTTAGCATTTAGTTATCAACTTTTTATTATACTTTAAGCTATCAAGATGTGTCTCATGATATTCATTTAGAGGTCGTGTCTTTTATATGCTTTCTAGCCATCTGTGTGAGTGACCTACTCGCAGAAGCCATTTTGTTTGTCACTTTCAAGTGATTGAATATCAGAGACACGTTTGACTGATAGCCGGTCTGTTATTGTGTCTCATTGGGCTCTGCACATTTGTGCTCTGTTGAATTTCGATACGTATAATTTTTCTAAAAATGTTTTCGAAAGTAAAAACAGGATCGAGCCTCGTCGATCTAGCCGCTTTCATTTGAAATATGTCCTCCCGCAAAGTGCTGTTATGGTCTTCTCAGCCTCACTTGATCAATAGATTAACTTTTCCGGAGAAGAACAATCAGATCCTCGCGAAAAGCTCCATTCTCACTTACTACCTGGCGCTTAACGTACTTTTATTTCTTTATGAAGAAAGCAGATCTATCTAAATAGATGAACGATGAACCCAGACCATTCACTAACGTATGATACCCACCTCGCCGCTTACGTTGTGGTAGGGTCACTTGAAGTTACGCCAGCTTCACTTCAGTCCATAACTGTTTTTAGTCTAAAGTGAAAAGATATAAATGTGCTTCAGTTCCACTGCTCCATACTCTTTCTGGACTAAGAACATAGTGGATATTATATTGTCCCGATGAACAGTTGTTGTTCATCCGTACGAAAATTGCATCCGATTGTTTGGTTATCGAGGGTCCTACAACTAACCACTTTTTCAACGCTGTTTTTGTCCAACGATCAGTGCATATTTCGTTTCTGCTTCAATTTATACAGCTTGGGAGAAACAAAATGCACTGGATGATGCTATTGCATTTGCAGTCGAACGCGAGCAACCAAATGCTATCGAATTCTTTCGTGAAGCTCTTGCACCGCAAAATTTCGGCACACTTTTACCCCTCTTTACGAAGGAATTTCCGAATTTATGTGAGTTTTTATCTCATCCATTTGGAAAACCTCGCTCGCTTGTCTAGTTCGTGCTCTCAGATGTCTGTCTGAATTCAGTTGTTTTATTTGCTCCTTAAAGCTATCAGTGGAATTAGTGTTCCTGTTGTGGTAGCATCGTCTCCGTGCCCCGGGCAGTGCACGAAAAACGAAATGGAAATCATTAATGGTTCAAATT